GCTGTAGGTAGCCGGTATACTGCTCCCCCGGCTACCCTGACTGCCACAGTCTTGTTTAGTTTAGCCTGGTCTGAGACCAGGTGGCTCTTTACCAGGGTGATGGTAGCCCCTGAGTCGCGTAGCCCCTGAACTGCTTTACCCTCCAGATATACGGACTCCCTGTGATGCTGGCGGTTGTCAGCATTGGCCTGGACTGGATCCGCCTCGTGCAGTACTTCCCACTGTTCCACAGTTGTAATGGGAACCGCTGAGCCATATGGTGTGGCCACAATATCCTGGTAGTGGTGGGCTGCGGCTGCTCTCGGTGGTGGTGGTGGACCGGGCCGGATCCAGGTGGAATGGTCCCGCAGTTGGGGGCATTCCCTTTTATAATGTCCCCATTTCTGGCAGTGGTGGCAGGGGCCCGACGTGGGCTGGCGGAAACGTGGCTGTGCAGCGGGCGGTGGTGGTGGTGGTGGTGGTAGGGGTCTCGGTGGAGCTGGAGTGTAGCTGGCTCCCCCAAAAGTTTTAAAAGGGATTTTTGGAGCTGCAGGTTTTTGCTGCCTGCGTGCATCTAGGTACTCATCTGCCTTCCTGGCAGCTTCGGTGAGGGAGGTAGGGTTTCTGTCCCTCACCCATTCCTGGACATCGCTGGTTACCCCATCATAAAATTGCTCCAACAACACCATTTGTAATAAGTCCTCCATGGACCGAGCCTTATTGGACTGTACCCACCTCAGGGCGGCCCGATGTAACTTGCAAGCCCATTCTACATGAGAGTCCTTGTCATTTCTCTTTAGGTCTCTAAACCGCCGTCGATATGCCTCTGGCGTAATTGCATATCGGGCCAGGATCACTTCTTTTACTCTGTGGTAATTTCGAATTTCCCCATCAGGTACAGTTCTATAGGCTTCAGCAGCCTTCCCTGTGAGCTTCCCTGCTAAAATAGGCACCCACTCGTCTGGGCTAATACTATGCAATGCACACAGCCTTTCAAAGTCTTGGAGAAAAGCATCTATATCCTCCTCTGCTTCTACATACGTTTTAAATGCTTGGTAAGGAATTTTTGTCTTACCCTGTGTGATGGTAGCACTCCTCTCCAGCTGCTGTAGTGGCCTTTGACGCAGTATAAACTCCTGCACCTCTGTCATTGTCCTGGATATAATATCCGCTGTTGGATTCTCTCCATAAAAGGACAGCCTAAACTGCAGTTGTCTCTGGAACTCCTCTTTTTCAGCTCCATCTGCTGCACTCTGCTGCTCAGGGATTACCCTGTCCTCCTGCTGGTATTCAGCCATCACTTCTGCAATGTGGGTTGCTTTCCTTTTGTTGCTGGCTGCAATACCTTTCGCTTCCAGGAGATCTTTTAGCGTGGATCTTTTTAGCTTGGCATAATCACTCTCCATCCGTATTCCATTAGTCCTTGTTCCTTTGTGAGTCTGGATCCCAGCGCTGCCAACCAATGTAGCGGAGATGCAATATTCCACATGGTATCTCCTCTTATAATCCAAGTGAGACTCAGGAACAAGTAAATAATAAATCCACAGGCAAGGTTTCCAGCAGGTAAAATAACAGCAATATCCCCACAGCAATCCCAATAACTGGACGACACACAGTTTCAGGAGCAGAACTGAAAGCTTTAATCCACAGTCTCCTTTTAAAGCATGCTCCCATGCAAGGGAGGGATTTACAATCATTAATACAGTAGCCAATCCTGTCCTGGTAACCTCCCACACATCTCCTCCCCTCAGCCAGCATCATAATCCCCTTATCCAGTACAGTAATTCCCCCCGTTTCTGGATGTACCCCTAAACGTAGGGGTACCTCTTTAAATCCTACATCCCCGGATAGCCCTGATCTGGGTGAACAACATATCCAAAAATCACCCAGATCAGACCAGGGGTTCGGGAAATGTATGGAGGGAATAAAATGACCGACCGCATTAACTGAGACAGCCGAATGAGGTTCCATGCGAATGGGCCCTGCGGTCGGTCCTGGCATAAGGGAACAAACTACACGAAAGCCTCTAGCTATAGAGGCTAGGGAGGGTTTGCCTGAATCCCCTCGTTTGGTTCTTTCTATCTACCGAACGAGGGGCCGTTCGGTAGTTAGGAACCGAACGGACCGGGCTTGTGGAGGTCTCAGCGGTGTTCGCCTACTCGAGTGTCTGATTTTAGTTCCAGACACTCGACGGCAAAACACCGCTGTTTGGGAGTTTTAAAATGGCCGCCACCACGTGTTCGTTTGTCGAATGGCGGCCACCCCCGAGAACAAAGGACGGCTACTTAACTTGTCAATTACCCGTTCGCAACAATGTTGCAACGGGTAATTGAGGACACACTTCTCACAGGGGAGGTCTGGTTGTTCGGTAGTTTCATTCGAATAAACTAAGGGAATGAAACTACCGAACAATCAGATGAATACAAGTCTTTTAAAACATATAACACAGTAAATCACACGAATTCAGTTATGCACAATACATTTGCAGGACAGCCCGGGGCCATCCGCTACACTGTCCAAGTCCTTTCAGATATTAAATGGTATGTGGCAGGTGTGCCCATTTTCGCTGTTTTGTTTTTGCCCTAACCTTGGAAACCCTCCTTAATAGGTTATGTGATAATGGGGCAAGTTGGGGGTTGTGACTTCACCAGGGCCATCATAATGTTCTGGCATATGCAAGTGTCCTATTATTTGTGATCATGTACCTGGACACCTCCTTACGAGAGATCTAGGCTGAATTTGCCCTGTATAGTTCTGTTTCAAACATTAAAATGAGTGACTGGAAATCCGAGATACTGAACATCAAATATCCCCAAGCCCAGTAGTGTATTCTTACTGGTTCCTTCCAGTTTAGATGGTGATTGTTACAAAGACTCCGTTACACAAACTTGTTATATTATTATTCCTCGTTTTTGCTTATTTAGACTCTATTTAATGGCATTCAGACCAGGCGAACAGAGCAGACAAACTATTATAAAGCCTCATTCGTCAGTGGGAACGACCGACCACCCAGCCCTAGGCGTGTGCCGCCACTTAACCCCGTCACCCCGCAAAGTAACAAATGGCCTACCACCCAGCCCTTGGTGTTTGCCGCCACTTAACCCCGTCACCCCGCAAAGTACCGAATAGCCGTCCACCCTGCAAGCGGAGTGTGCCGCTTATCAACCTGCCTTCCGGCATTGCGGTCTGCGGTTAACCGCAGGTTAAGTGCCTCTTCCAGGCAGCTCCATTCGTACTGCGAACGGACGGGACAACCAGACGGGGAGCGGGATTCGCATGATTCTGTACCCGGCCTTCGCTCCATGAGGACAGCATCAAGGTCCCGCTGGCCATTGACGGACCCAAAAACATGGCCGCCATCGAGGGCTTGGAAACCAACTACCGAACAGGATTTCATACGGTAGAAATCTCCTATTTTGTTTGTGGTAACTGGGCGCTATTCAAATACCTAATGCATCCAATGCAGAGCTACCGAACGATATGTAGAAAGGACTATATTCACTGGATAATGCCTGAATTATATATTTTTATGCTGTTTTCTGGGACATAATAAAGCATGGTCGTTTTGGGCGCTTGGAGATAATTAGATTGTATAACCGTTGGCTTCATTATCTCCAAGCTGAGCGGGTACTAGTTTGAATGATACACTGTATGGGGATTGGTTGAATACTTGTACGGTACCTGTATCCCATCAGGTCCAGAGGGGGCTGTCCCTGGACCTGGGGACTTGCATAAATTGCCATGCTTGTGTGCCATTAAAGCCAGTTCGTTTTGACCCTCAACTCGCAGCCTCGACTCATGTTGTAGGGATCCGGGAATATTAGCGCTCTTACAGATAGTGGGATATTCTACACTTGCAGATTCTACCGAATGGAACCACATTCGACTCTCTGACTTCGGGAACCAGGACATCCAAGCGATCAACACTCCTGCTAGACCGGGGGCAATCGTAACAGTGATCAATGCAGATATGCTACATTGGCATCTGGCTCATAAGGGAATTGTTGCAGCTATTTAAAGTGATCATTCTATCGGTACCTGATTCCGTGATGGAGGATTTGAAGAGGTGGGATTTTCATTGCCTCTATTGGTTGGACCAATATTATTAAGATGACTTTTCTATCTTTAAACAGTTCCAATTATGATCCTGCCAAGCTGTTTTAAACAACTCTGGGCAGAGGTTCTTAGATTTGTTTGTTGCGGTGCATCTCACTAACTGGCACATTCACAGCTAATTCTTTCCAATCTCAAGGGTGGTCTTCTGCTGCCAGATGTAGAAAAATACTGTGCTTCAGCCCACATTTCTTGAATCCTGTTCTAGTGTATGGTAGGACTCCTTGTGGATGAGGAGTCCAACCTGTGCTGATGTAGCTGCCAACACACTGATCTTCTCTTGCATCTGCTGCTTGCTGTGGGAGAGAAGTGTGAGGTCATCTGCAAAGTTCAAGTCATCCAGTAGCCTTCACAAGGTCCACTGGATTCCATTTCTGCATTCGCTGGTGGATGTCTTTATGATCCAGTCGAGGGTGATGAGGAAGAGGAACAGAGATAACAAGCATCCTTGTCGGACTCCAGTCTTCACCTGGAAGCTGTTTTTAAGCTTTCCTCCGTGGATCACTCTGCAGGTCATTCCCTTGTATGAGCTCTTGATCAGGTTGACCACCATGGCTGGGAGGCAGTAATGCCGGAGGAGCTTCCGTAGGACCTCTCGATCCACACTGTCAAACGCCTGCTCATAGTCAACCAAGTTAATGTACAGCGATGAGTTCCACTCCAAGGACTGCTAGACTATGATGCTCAGCATTGCAATCTGGTCCATGTATGATCGATTTTGCGTGTTCATCTTGTAGTTGTGGATTGACAACGTCCTTCATCTGCTCTAGGAGGATCTGATTGAAGACCTTGCCTGGCACTGACAGGAGTGTGATACCTCTGTAGTTTTTACAGTTGCTGAGGTCACCATTCATTGGAAGCTTGATTAGATAACCCTCTTTCCAGTCAGTCGGTATCTCTTCTTCCTCTCAGATCTTCTCGAAGAGTGGGTACAGCATCTCCCCTGATGATTTCAGGTCTGCTTTCAGGGCCTCTGCTGGTATGTCATCAGGTCTAGCTGCCTTCCCATTCTTCATCATGGTGATGGCCTTCCTGATCTCTTCTCTAGTCGGCTTGCCACAGTTGATGGGGAGATCTTCATTGGCTGGGTTGTTGTCTGGTGGATTTAGTGGTGCTAGTCTGTTCAGGAGCTCCTCAAAGTGTTCAAGTTAATAAGAGGACTACATTGGCTGCAGTGAGGATGCTTGTGACAACCAATCTCTTATATACCTAAAGCAAGAGCTGTATCTGGTGAAGGAGGTGGGCTGCCGGCTCAAATGCTGTGGGTTCTTCAGAAAGTTTTGTAATAACCGTATGGACAGCCTTCCAAAAAGGCTCCGACAAAATGTGCAATAAACTAACCACCTCCTCGCCACAATGCCAACAGATGTATGAAAGAGATAAATTATGTGAATGCAAATGTCATGTTCCTGCTGAGTAGGTCAGAGTGGAGACAATTGCCAGGGTTATGGGTTGAAACTTTATTTGTTTTTTTAGACATAACAATTTACTTGAAAGTAAGAATTAAGACAATATGCCACAAAAATGATACTTTAAGAGTTAAAACAGAATAAAGGCAATATGCCACAAACAGGATATCTTGAAAGTAAATGAATAAAGTCTTTTATATACAAGTAGGTTTGAAGTTATTCCCAAGTAGATTAGTAGTTTATGGAATGTCACACTGCAGCTAGGTTCAGGATGATACAGGGCTGAAATGGTTAAAGCTGGTAAGTACTTTCAGTATAATATAGTACAGGTTGCTTACAGGATTTTGCAGAGATGCAATAGTTGAAGATAAGAGTTTTAGGAGGATTTTGGCGACGGGACACATGGAGTCTCCATAGAGGATCAGGATGCTTTCAGGAGCCAGGATACAGGATGTTTTTTGTCAGAACACTGACTTCATTGTCAGAACACTGACTTCAATGTAAAGGCCATAAGAAGAGTTGGGTGTGTCCTTTAAAAACAGAAGTGGAAAATCATATGAAGCAGGTGAGAGCAACTGAGGATTAACTAGTGGCTAGAGAGGCCACTAGAGGTGAGAAACAGGAATTGCAGCAACAAAATAAAACAATTTCTTGGTTGTCAGGATAGGAACCTGACATAATCCCCTCCTTCAAAAGTGGACTCTGGACGCGATGGTTTCATGCAAACCTCAGAGGGACAAAACCCATAAATTGAGAAAAAAGGAGACATTTTAGAAAATGTAGAGGGACGAAACCCTTAGGAGGATAAATCCTTTTAGCATCTGCAAACTTCAGAGGGACGGAACCCATAAATTGAGAAAAAAGGAGACATTTTAGAAAATGTAGAGGGACGAAACCCTTAGGAGGATAAATCCTTTTAGCATCTGCAAACTTCAGAGGGACGGAACCCATAAATTGAGAAAAAAGGAGACATTTTAGAAAATGTAGAGGGACGAAACCCTTAGGAGGATAAATCCTTTTAGCATCTGCAAACTTCAGAGGGACGAAACCCATAAATTGAGAAAAAAGGAGACTTTTGGGAAAAGTAGAGGGATGAAACCCTTAGGAGGAGAAATCCTTTTCTTTTTCTCAAGTTTTTTCACAGGTGATATGCAGGAGCTTGATTGCAACAAGCAATAAATCAATTTGCAGAGTTCTAAGAGGCTTCCAGCAATGATTGTTAGAACACTGGTTAACCCTGTAGTCTCGGTTTAAGGCCTTTACATTCTCTCATGATATTACTGAGCATGTCAGAGAGGAGACAATTGCCAGGGTTATTGGTTGAAACTTTATTTGTCTTTTTAGACATAACAATTTACTTGAAAGTAAGAATTAAGGCAATATGCCACAAAAAGGATACTTTGAGAGTTAAAACAGAATAAAGGCAATATGCCACAAACAGGATACTTTGAGAGTAAAAAAGAATGAAGGCAATATGCCACAAACGGGATATCTTGAAAGTAAATTAAGTATTTTATTTACAAGTAGTTTTTAAGTTATTCCCAAGTAGATTAGTAGTTTGTGGAATGTCACACTGCAGCTAGGTTCAGAATGATACAGGGTTGAAATGGTTACTTTCAGTATAATATAGTAAATTTTTGCGACGGGACACACGGAGTCTCCATAGAGGATCAGGATGTTTTCAGGAGCCAGGATACAGGATGTTTTTTTGTCAGTGACACTGACTTCAATGTCAGAACACTGACTTCAATGTAAAGTCCATGAGAAGAGTTGGGTATGGCCTTGTATAGCAGACTTGGAAAATCATATGAAGCAGGTGAGAGCAACTGAGGATTCACTAGTGGCTAGGGAGGCCACTAGAGGTGAGAAACAGGAATTGCAGCAATAAAATAAAACAATTTCTTGGTTGTCAGGATAGGATCCTGACAGCAACATCGAATGCATCTGGTACCATCTGGTAAAGAGTTTGTAGGAGGTCACATGCAGGTGAGCTAAGAACGTCATTTTGTGAATTTGCCATTTGTGTAATATTTAAAATCATTCCCCCTCTATGAAGGTGGTTCAGAGGTCCTACTCGCAGCTGCTACTGCATGGAGGTGTCAGTAGATACTGGTTTATCACCAGCATGCCGTACATATCTGAGAGATGTACTGGGGCACAGGAGCGTACTGCATGCAGAGAGATTTCAAGGGGGTCGAGGACCTGGTAAGGCAGGGGCCTAGTGTAGTGAGATATCTGTGCACAAGACAACAAGCTAAGGAAGAGGCAACATCTCCCCAAGTGTCTAGAGCATATGAGGTAGCCTGGGACAGGAGTTATAGGAGAAGAAGGCACAATGTCCAGGCTCTGGGTGCCCTCCTGCCACTTACTACATGTTGTGTGGCCGAGCAGACCACAGGTATCATATTTTCTGTATCATTTACCCAGTATGACAGAAAGCTTCTCACTGAAAGCAACAAACACCTTACTGTCAGACCAGGTGGGGGATACAGAAGATCCTCTACCTACTGTCCACTCGGCCACACTACATTACACAGGCAAGCAAGTGGGGATAGGGGGGAAGAGAAAAAGAGACACACAAAAGGTCCTGGGGAAGCAGACAATGAAACAAACAAAGAGGGAAAGTAAGAGGCACAGAAAGTGGGGAATACTAGGCAATCGGGCTGTAAGAGAAACACAAGGCAGTTATGGACACAGGAAGTGGAAAAGGAACGAAAATATAAGGGGTAAGACATTCAAAACTGTGGATAAGAAACACAAAAGGTATAAGAAATTCAAAAGGGGGGTTAAGAGACACACAACAATGTTTTACTCTGCAGGGTAAAAACAGCAGGGACATGGCACCCAGACCACTTATTTGAGATTAAGTAGTCTAGGTGCCCATAGTGTCCATTTAATAAGTTAAATTTTGTTTTCTCCTTTCCTTTTTACACTGCCTATGCATGCATTTTCTAAACCAGCCAGTGCTCATAAACATGCTACTGTACATATAATTAGTGTAAACCAGTAAGATAATTATTTATACATGTATATCGCTGATTTACAGTGTGTTATGTGAAGCATTGTATCATGTGTGTATTTTTTATCTCCACTTCTAGATATACATTGAATAAATATTGATATATAATGTTTTTACAAATTAGCCGTGTTCTCAGTTTGTTTGTTTTTAGGCCTAAATGTGGTACACTTAATTTTAATTCAGCATATCTTATTGTTTAACAAATAAACCCACGTTGCAATTACACATTTAAATCTTTTTCTCCGTGGAATTTTTAGATTTAAATTTTAAATTTACATGCAATACAAAAAGATATATGTTTATATATACTGAATATATACTGATCAGCGACAACATTTAAACCACTGACAGGTGAAGCAAATTTTACAGTGACACCTGTCAAGGTGTGGGTTATATTAGGCAGCAAGTGAACAGTCAGTTCTTCAATTTCATGTGTTGGAAGAAGGAAAAATGGGATTCTTTGACAAGGGCCAAATAGTGATGACTAGACGACTGGGTCAGAGCATCTCGAAAATGGCAACTCTTGTGGAGTGTTTCCGGTATGCAGTGGTTAATACCTACCAAAAGTTGTGCAGGGAAGGAGAACTTATGAACCAGCATCATGGGTGCTAAAAGTTTATTTATGCGAGTGCTAGCCTGTCTGGTCTGATCACACAGAACAGCTTGTGTAGAATGCATTTGCTGAAAAAATTATTGCTGGCCATGACAGGAAGGTGTCAGAACACATAGTGCATGGCAGTTTTCTGCATAGTTGCAGACCGTTTAGGGTGTTCATGATAACTCCTGTCCATCGCTAAAAGCACTTTCAATGGGTACGTGAGGACCAGAACTGGACCATGGAGCAATGGAAGAAAGTGTTTCTGATGAATCATGTTTTCTTTTAGATCATGTGGATGTCCAGGTACCTGGGGAAGAGATGGCAGCAGGATGCACTATGGAGAGAAGGCAGGCAGGCCGGCGGAGGCAGTGTTATGCTCTGGGCAATGTTCTGCTTGGAAACCTTGGGTACTGGCATTCATGTGGATGTTACTTTGACACGTACCACCTACCTAGAGCTTGTTGCAGACCACGGACATGGCAATGGTGTTCCCTGATGGAAGTGGCCTCTTTTGTCAGGATAATGTACTATGCCACACTGCAAAAATTGTTCAGGAATGCTTTCAGTAATATATGACAAAGAGTGTTACGATTGCCCCCGGTCTAGCAGGAGGGTTGATCGCTTGGTTGTCCTGGTTCCCGCTGCAGAGAGTCGAATGGAGGTCTTTCGGTAATCAGCTGTAAGTGTAGAATATCCCCAAGCACGATCTAAACATCAATATCCCGGATCCCTACAACATGAGTCGGGGCTGCAAGTTGAGGGTCAAAACGAACTGGCTTTACTGGCACATAGCATGGCAATTTATGTGATTCCTCAGGTCCAAGGACAGCCCCCTGTGGACCTGATGGAATACAGGTACAGTACAAACAGGTAACCAATCACAGTATACTGTATCATTTGAAGTAGTACCCGCCCAGCTTGGAGATAATGAGGCCAACGGTTTTACAATCTAATTATCTCCAAGCGCACAAAAGACCACGTTTTATTATGCCCCAGAAAACTACATAAAAATCCATAACTTGTACATTATTACAGGAAAACCATTCATTCCACCATTCATTTTAAGGCTC